ATGGCCTGTGTGGGCACAGGAGGTGTGGGCAGAAGGGGAGGAATAATAGCTTAACTAGATAGACCTGGACCAGAGGGCTTGGTACACTGACAACTGCAGGGATTCCTTCGGAGCTTTTTGGAAGGCAGTGGGAAAATGCAGGAAGCAGATTGTAAGATTGTAAGATGGAGCTGTAAGTGCTGGGCATCGGTGTCTTAGCACCCAGGAAAGGTCTCAGTCCTAGGATTGGGAGACTGTGCTGCTCAGGAATGCTGGACAGCCCCTGAGACTAGGGGTTTTTCTAGAAACCTTCCAGGTCTGGCAAAAGTACTTTACCTCCATAGCCAGCAGCCCTGGGCACCACCTGCCAGTGGGGGTGGAGCAGAAGTTGGGCCGTTGTTCTGAGCTCCCGCTAATCTGGTTTCTGATTTGAGAGGAAGTACTGGGTTTTCATGACCCTAGGAGAGAAGAGAGATGCCTTTGGGGAGGGCTCTGTGTGTGTGTGTGTGTGTGTGTGTGTGTGTCTGTGTGTGTGTGTGTCTGTGTGTGTGTGTGTCTGTGTGTGTGTGTGTATGTGTGGTGGGGGAGGGATATCACTGATCTGTGAGGCTGAGATAAAGCCACCTGCCTCAGGACCTAGGAGGAGGCATTCAGTGAGGGGGGAGGGGAAGTAGTTGCCAATTCCTTCTGGTGCCCCCTTCTGCTGAGAGGACCCATAGGGTGTTTCCCCCTAAATAGAAATCGAATGTAGCCAGGATCTCAGGAGGGAAAGCTGTCAGGAAGGGGTTAGCACACCTGGAGTCTACTCTGTAGCAGCCCCCACTGGCCAGACCGGTGGATGGCATCAGCTGGCATCCCAGGCAGAGAGATCAGCTGGGGGTGGGAAGAGGAGGGGAGAAGGGATTCTCTCGCCAGGGTGAGCTGGCTCTGTGGGGCTCATACATATTGCTACATTGTTTGGGTCTCAGTTGTGAGAGACTGGTCCTGGGTCCTGGGCTAATGAAGAGGGAGTCTGATTATAGACCAGCTCTATCTCTATTTGAACTCCAATTTAGAAAAAGCAGGATCCGAAACACAGGGCTTTCTTGAGAACCCTTTCTTAGCCTGGAGCCCTAGTTAGAGTAGCTACAACGATAGAAGTTTATAGGTGAAAACAAAGAAAACAGACAGATAGACGCACATAGAGAGACAAGGAGAAATAGAAAGAGAGAGAAAAGAGAACAGAAGAGAGAGGAAAGAAAAGAGAAAGAAACATCTCCAAAAGCCCTTTTCTTTATGAGCATCTTTTCGTTCTCTTACCTAAAAGGCACATGGGATAGAAACATTTCTCCCAACCTTTCCTGTCCTTTGACGGATTTCTGCCCTTCATTCCCTTCATGGTCCAATCAGACTGTCCTTTTTAATGTTTCTTATCCCTGACACTCCATTTCTACACCCATGCTTTTATCTTGGCTGTGCCTCATGCCTGGAATGCCTTCCCTCATTACTTCCACTAGTTGGAATTCTGAGTTTCCTTCAAGGTTCAGCTCAAATGCCACCTTCTACAGGAGGCCTTCCCTGATTGCTCCTCCCCACCAAGTTCTAATGCCTTTCTCCTCCCACCTGAATCACTTGGTATCTTTCATTGTAGAATATAAGCTGCTTTAAGAGAGGAATTATTTTATTTCTGCCTTTGTTTCCCAAGGATTCCACATGGTACCAGGCATACAGTAGCCACTTAATAAATGCTTATTGATTTTATTGATAGGAATCTCAAGACAAGTCCTAGTTCTGTCTCTGTCACTAACCTAGAGTATAAACTTCACCTCTTCCAGGCCTCAGTTTCCTCATCTATAGTGTCCTGCCTTACCTACCCCACAGGGCTGTTTTGGGGGTCGAAAAGGACAATGGATATGTTTGAGAAAACATAAAGCACAAGACGAATTGGATGTTAGGAAGATTTGTGTGTGTGTTATTTAAACAGGCAAATATTTAAGCACCTACTATGAGTAGGGCAAATTCTGCTAGATGTGGGGGATATAAGAATGAAAGAAGACTCAAGTCTTGCCCTTAAGGAGCTTATAGTCTGTTAAGGAAACTGAGGCACAGGAGTGACAAGTGATCTATCCAAGGTCCTATCATGGTTAAGCTCATGGGGGATCCCAGGATTTTCAGCTGCACTCTGACCTCTCAACACTTCCCTTTGCTCCTCATTTTTAGATTTCCCCAGATCCCAGTAAAGGAGGAGGAGGCAAGAGCAGCGGTCACATTCCATGCCCACAGACCCCTCTTCTCCTGCCCTGTCCCTGCCATCCAGCATGTCTCTCCATCTCTTTCTTCCCCAGCACGTTTCAGTGGATAGTTCAAGGCCCCCTGGGTCCCTGCAGAGGAACGACCTCAGCCAGTGGTTACCATGGTGACGGAGGAGAGGGAAGAGGAGAGGGGATGGCCTGGTCTCAACTTGGATTTTCTAGGCTGGACAGCAGAAAAAGCAAGCCAGGGTGAATTGGGGCTCCTCAGATGAACTGTGGGCATGGAGAGACAGGGAATGAGAGGTGAACAGGAAGGAAGGGGAAGGGGTGCCTCCCTGGGTCTCTCGTGCTGCTGGGCCAGCTGCAGAGGGAGGCCATTTCATGTGGATTAGTCATCCACAGCCTGAGTGCATGTGAATAGGTAGGTTCTGTGAAGGGGGAGAGAGGCCCAAAGCTGCTTTCAGGCTAGCAGGGAGGAATCTTTCTCTCTCTTTCTTCTCTCTCTCTCCTTTCTCTTCTTTCTCTTCCCTCTCTCTTTCCCTCCTCTCTCTTCTTTCTCTTTTCTTTTCTTCTCTCTCTCCTCCCTCTCTTCTCTTTCTCCCTCTCCTCTCTTTTCTCTTCTCTCTCTCTCTCTCTCTCTCTCTCTCTCACACACACACACACACACACACACACACACACACACACCTGCTAGGGAGCTGGGCTTGACCCCCTTCTACAGCTTAAAACCCTGCCTAAGTCACAGAGCCAACCACCGCGTGGGTCACAGGTTGTATCCGTGTTGGGTAAGAACATCCTACTAGGATGGTGTCTGCTACCTCCCTCTCCTCTTCATCTTACACCCTTCCTCTCCATCCCTGCCTAATTCCCCCACCTGCTTCTTGCCCTGCCCACCTCCAGCTATGTCTTTGGGAGCTGAGTTTTGGAGGTCAACCCTGTTTTAGGAAGAACTTCAGGCTCTGAGTTTCCAAAGACTTGGCCCCAGCCAGAGATTATGGGCTTTAGAACTGGACCCTTGAGGGCATCTGGGCCACCCCCCCACCTCAATCCTTCTTACGAGTGAGGAAACAAGCCCAGAAAGGCTATACGACTTGCTCTATCAAAGACACACCGATCAGTAACAAGCATTCATGAAGTGCCTACTACATGCTAGGTACTGAGGATATAAAGACAAATATAAACAGCCCCTGCCCTTAAGGAGCTTCCTTTCTACTGCGGGAGAAAGCATACCCATAGACTTCTAGATCTAGAGTTGCAAGGGATATCAGAATCCACATGGTCTACTCCCCTCATATTAAAGATGAGAAAAATGGCCCCAGGCAAGGTGAAATGATTTGCCAGAGGTCACACAGGTACTCCCCATCAGAGACCCTCTGGCCCCACTGTACCACAATGCCACTCCTATATAGATTGATACAAAATCCATAAGGTCGTTAGTGAGTTGGTACTAAATCAATGGGGTCATCCCAGAGCTCAGACTCAGACTCTGGTACTCTGCCTCTAAAAACAGTATTTTGTGTTGCCCTTGGGCTGCTCTCTGTCTCCTGACCTCCCATCCCAGAATCCCCCCCTGTCCTTTTCTGCCACATTTCTCAGCACTCTCTCCCTCCATATTCCTACCTTCTTGGCTCACTATTTGGTTTTTCCTTCAGCTTTCTTAGACTGTCTTTCAGATGGGTTTAAAATATTTGAGATCTCTCCTTTGTCCCTGAAATAAATGCCTTTCTTCCCCCCATAGACCAGAGGTTAGTCCACTCCAAGAGTGGCCATAGGTGGGGAGTCATCTCTGCCCTTACCTCCTCCCCACTTGTGACTAAGGGTGGAATAGAGGTGCAGGGGTTGAGGGAGAGGAGGACTTTATAATATCCTCATCATTTATTATACACTAGCCCAAGAACAGGGAAAACTACCCTCACTGTTCAATCAATCAATCAACAAACATCTATTAAGTACCTACTATGTGTCAGGCACTGTGCTAAACACTGAGGCTACAAAAAGAGGCAAAAAGTATTGAGATGGCTGACTGAGTTTTAAAACTAGACTTTTAGGTGGAGGGTAGAGTTTGGGCATCCAAGCGGTTTTCTCCAGTCACATCTAGGTGTTGGCCATGAAACAACCATCCACTAAGAGACATGGGCAGCTATTATGTGTGGGAATGCCCTGTGGCAGGCTGAAGATAACAGGGTCCAGCCTTCCAGGAGCTCATGTACGCAGGCATACAGGACTCACACATGAACAGAA